CTGAGACCCACAGGAAATGTTTAACCATAGCTGCAGCAAAAGAAAAGCAGGAGGCGTCAGCCAGCGCCTGGGCCAAGCCTGCCTAAAATGCACCTTGAACCAGGCCATTGGTCAAGCTCTCAGCCCAGAACCTCTGTCTACATAGAATAAATGCAGATGCTTCCCATGTGGTGGTAGTGAGTCTGTATTACTTTTCACGCTCTCTTCCAACTCTAGCTGTTTCTCTGCAGCTCAATTTTGCCATCTGCTGTCATGTCTGTGGCAATACATCCCATTTCCTCTTTCTGGCAGGATAAAATTTTCCACTTTTTCATGCATTCATCTCACACCGTATGGTTATCTCTGCTTCTTCCAAGTCCCATGATGCTATTTAGTCTTATTTCTAATTTCCTATTTACTCAGTCACATTCTTCTCTTGTTATTTCTTAAGCTCCAATTAGATTACACCTTTGAAACCCAGAGATTTATTTATATTAACCTTAAAAAACATCTAGAAAAGCACATTAAGGCTTGGAAACAAACCCAGAGAAGTAATGAAATGTGCTGCTGAGAGGGAAAGGGACTATCAGAGCAGCCGGCTCCAATAAAGTCTGTTAAGAGAGGTCTCCTATTAATCTCAAAATAATATTTTAATTCATTCCTCTGGTTTCTCAAAGGATTTATCTCAACTCCTGACTATTTCTTTTCCCAGTATTTTCCTCCTCTTTTCTTATTAGCCAATCCCATGTCCCAAAATGCTCAGACCCCTCTTTTTAGTTACTTTTCTCTTTCGCCTCCATACTCATCAGGTGTTCAGTCATTATTTCTTTACGTCAGACCTCCTTTAACCGATTTAATCCATCATTTTGATACAGACAATTGTCCACAAAGTGCTGGGGTCCACTGAAAATTATTACTCAGAGGAAAAGCTACCTCCTTCATTAATTAACCACCTTGCTACATGGAGCAGAGCCAGATTCCCCAGTCACAACACCATTTAGGCCTGACGCAGACTTTGAACAAATTAAAAGCTGCTTAGGTTTAGTCTGAGGCTCCCTGTGCAAACCAATAAACACTGCAATAACTTTAGTAGTTCAGAGCACTGGGGAGAGGTGTTAAACCCCAACAATTTCAGGTCGTTATGTTTTGCAGTTTAAGAGATGGCAAGAGCCAAGATCTTGGAGGATTTGAGTTCTGGGGAAGTACAGGGCAATTTCAAAGCAAATGGATTTCCTTGTTGGCAAGTATCTGGAAGCTGCAGGAGCCCAGCGAGGGCAGCAGGAAGGCGTATGTATGGGGAGGAGACTCGCTTTTCCAAGTTCAGCGGGCAGCAACAAGTGATAGGAAAATGGGGAATTGCTCTCTAAAGCTCCGGCCACAGGCGTTAGGTCCTTCCCTGGTCCATGCCCACGCGCAAGCAGGCACAGCAGGAGCAAAAGGGGAGGCCAGGAGGCACAAACTGAAACAACCCTAAGCAGGCAGCAAGGGACCCAATGCTTTTGCTGGGGGTTTTCCCAGGCCAAGCAGAAAGCCCCATGCCAGCTGCCTCCAGCAGGAGCAACAAGCACCTGCCAGCCTCAGCAGCTCTGCTCCCATGCAGGCATCACTTGATGGGAACCTGGCTTTAGAGAGCCCCCAACCAAACCCCTCCTCTTGAGCAACCTGCTCCAAACAGTAGGGCTTTTTCCCAGTAGCTCATGGTAAAATCAGGGCCTGACGAAGATCCTGCAAATGCAGAGGGGGTTAATGAGCCAAGCCTGGGGGTAAGCCAGGGCTAGAGATCCCCAGAGAGAAGATGCTGAGCTGCTGGGACAGCTCTCACCAGGAGACTCTCACCAAGACTGCTGTTCCCACTGCCCAGCTGGAAACTTGCACCTACCAACACCAGAGCACCCATCTGACTGCAGCAAACAGGGTGCAGATCCTCTTTCCTCAAAGGAAGCTTTCTCAGTCTGAAGCCCTGGCCAGCGTAGGGCTTTGCAGCTTCTTCTATGTGTTGGTTTAAGCCACTTACTGGAAGATTTTTTTGACGGCAATGCTTTATGTTTACTAAAGTGCACTTCTCTACTTTTCAATGTCTTTTAAAAATAAAGACTAACATCTCCAGATGCCAATGGCATACTCATTGTCAGTCCTTCCTTTTCTTTCTAAAAGCCTGCTGCTTTCATTCAGATTTTTTTTTTCCACTAGGCCCAGAAACCACATTTTGAGCATCTATGGCTTCTAAAAAAATAGTATTTTTCCCTCCAGCTACACTTTAAAAGGCTTCTCTTAACCTTTCGCTGGACATACAGACAACCCAGGTCAGTTCCTCAGGAATTACTTCAATGTATTTTCATTTAAAGATATCCCTCCCTTGCTTGCAATTGCCATTCTAAACCCAAACCTCAGTCTCAGTAATGGGGAGGGATAAAGAAATAAATAAAAATGCTCAGCTGCATAAGTTGCACTTAGAACTTCCCTACAGCATTTCGAGGCTGTCATTCCACATAGCTGATCAGATCAAACTCACTTTGTTGACTCTTGCTCCTCCCCAAAGCAGAACCCACAAATCCAGCCAGTGCCACAGAGAAAACACTGGAGCCTTCCCCCAGCAAGAGCCAGCCCAGCTCTAAGGAGATCATTAATGTAGAGCTAATTAACAGCAGCAACAGGTTTGGCCCAGCCCTGCTAATTGGAAGCTGCAATGAAGATCTGTTTGGCTTAATTAGCAGGTTTCTTTCTCTTAAAGAAAAAGCGATTTTGTTTGTGTTCTTTTAGAGAAGTACATCAAAACCGCTTGGTTTTTTTCTCCCTTTTAATCCTTGCAGATCTGTGTGGGATTCGTGCCTGAAAGCAGTGCTGGGAGTCAGGCCCAGACCAGCACACAAGCTGTGCCCTAATGTTGGGGCAGCTGCGTTAGCCAGTGCTGCACAGCCCTGTCTCGGCTGAGTGTCCCCAGTTCATGTGCCTGCAGGCCACATCCTCTCCTCAGCTGCTCTGCTCCACACCAGCGCAGCACTGCCAGACCAGCATAAGCAGGAGCCAAATGAGGTTAGAAGAGACACCAAGGAGGAACTCCCTTGGCCTTCCCCTGACTCCCACTGGGGCAAACCACAGCATGGACCAGGAGAAGACGCTGTAGCATCAAAATGTCTCGCCACAGCCCTGAGCGTGACTAGCGGGGAAGTCCAGGTCTGCCACACCACGTTTTCTTCTGCTCAAACACTGTCTACACAATACGCTTTTACTTCTGGCACTCACCGCCTGGAGTTAGCAATGCCAGGATTTTCTCCTGTAACCAAGAACTTTCTCCCATGCAAGCCATTACCCTCACCACTGCAGCAGAGTTGCAAGGACCCCAACTGCATACATTAAAGCTCTGCAATGTATCCCATAGCTAATCTTTCTTGAGCGAGCCTCCATGGCCAGCCCTGCTGTGGTGACTCCTCTCAGGCTGGTTACGGACACGGTCTGTTTTTTAAAGCCTAAACCTTGACCCAGCTGAAACACAGGAGAAAGTGCCCTCAGGAAGGGTGTGATTAGGGTTGTGAAATGGTGCCGGTCATGCTACAGCATGCTGCTAGCTGAGCTGCCGTTCAGCCACCTAAAGGCTCCAATTTTCCAAGCTGAGAAGAAGGTAAGATTCATGCTGCAGAGATATCATTATAGTCAGAAGAGAAGCAGCACTTACAGGGCTCGAGGAGGACGGGGAGGATTTCACAACTCTCTTGAGAACGTCTATGTTGTGCTGCATGCAGCCCTGGATCCTGCTCAGGCAACCAGAGGCCAAGCTAAAGCTTGTGGTCCAAGCCGAGCTGGTCCCTCTAACTATGTGCTAAGTACCCATTTGCCCATGTGGTCCAGACTGTCCGGACTGTCTCTGTCTTCAGCATCTGAATGTGGAAACAGCCACAGCCTGCTTGCCAGCTCTGCCATGCCAAAGTCCTGGGAACAAGGATGGCAGGTTCTGCTAGTGCTCTATGGGGTAGGTGCAGGGAGGCAGCTTGCCATGGCAAGAAAGACTGAGGATAAACTCTACCCCCTACAGCAGCAGCACCCTCCCCCCCAGCCCTTCTGCCCCACTAGAAGAAGCAGAAAGGGAACACCACCCTCCATCTCTTCTTTCTCAATGTGCTTTTAGTAGCCCAACCCCCAGCTGCTTTCCCTGGAAATCACAATTTCGAATTTTGCCTCTGGTGCTCTAAATCACTGGGCTTCGTCTGCCTCCCACAGAGCCCTGAAGGGATGGGCACATTTCTGAGGTGCAGCTTTGATCTGTATTGTGCTTCTCACCTCCATCTCCTCCAAAAGATAAATGGGCAACACTGGTGTGACTGGACACCCCAGTCTCATCCACTCAAAAACCAGCCAGGTGGCACTCTTCTACCCTGTGTCTGGTTACTAGGGCCCTAAATTAGTCACCCTAGGGCTGTATGTCGCAGTTCTGCATTGCCAAGAAGATGCCATCAGGAGAGCTGTTGTTTTATACAGCTCACTGTGATAAGTACTAAAAAGCAGCTACAAGCAAACTATGCACACTGCTGCGGAGAAATAGGTTTCAGAACAAGCATTATGGGGGTGACGTAGGCAGGGTAGAAAAATGTCCCTGGAGGATGGTCTTCTGGGCCCTTTCCTACCTCTGGAAATGTTACTGTCCCTCTTTGGAAAGCTGAGATAGCACAACAGGCATTTCAGCCCTGTGAGAATAACTGACCAACTCGTTTCAATGCCTTAGGATGGGGCATGAGGAATGCCATTTCTAGCAGTACAATAAGAAGTTTATTAAGAATCTCCAAGGGTCATTCAAACATGCTGAATCACAAGCAGCATTGGTACCCCATAAGCCATCTGCATTTTTGATTTATACGTGCTATATTCTTGTAGCTTAACATTTTTCTTGATTATATAAAAGTAATAAGAAACTTTGCATTTGCGAACTTCTTTTCTTTTTTTGCACTTCAAAATTAGGCAGCATTCCTTGTTATTTCTCCCGTCTGCTGTTCCTCACAGCATAGGAAGTACTCAATCAAGAACATTAGTAAAATACGAAGAAAAACAAATTTAATTCTGTAACACAGTATTAGTAACAAAGCAGATCCCAGAAGCAGCTATGAATAATGAATACGGCACCTTCTAAAGGAAGCTTCTTTATGCAATGAGTTTTAAAGGTGAAGCGGCAAATTTTGCATGAAGATTTCAAATTTCCACGGTTCAAGCTATGTCTTTGGTTTATATCCATTGATACTTTGAGGGCTCATAACAAATGAATCTTCTCCCTCAATGCAGCATGAAACAGTCCCTTTTTATTTGCAGTGTAGCTGTACTTTCTTCCAAGGCATCTACAGATGGTATGGGGGCTGCTCACAGGACAAAGAGGCCATTTTCTCCTTCAGCACCACTAAAAACTTTTTCAAGCTCTTCTGGTGGTCCAGGGCTGTAGTAAGAAACCCAGATCAGTATGCATGGAGGAAACAAAAGCATTGCTGCTTCAGAGCATCCTTTCTTAATTGTAATATTTGCAAATTCCCATGAAAATTGAGACCAGAAACTGCTGGCTTCACTGATTTCATTGGTGCAATGCCTACTTATTTACACCAGTGAATTATTTGCCTTGTTTACATTATTGTAAAGCATAGGAAAGGGCTGTTCACAGCTTATGACAGTTGTGAGATGATCAGCAGGAACTTAGAAAAAAGTCCCTCTTGGCCCTCACTTCTTATCTCCTAAGCTAGGTACACAGTGGGGTAGTTAGTAGCCATCTACCGTTGAAAAACTATTAGTCATTGACAGCAGGGTGGTACTTCACTGGATAGTGGTCTATCTAAACAAAAACCTTTTTTCCAGATCAGCCAGAAGACATGAAGTTATTAGGAATGCCTGGGTGATCCATCAGACTTATGTACTTCATATCTGTCTCAAAATCACCTCACATGCAGTGATGTGACTCAAGGAGGATATGACAATGCGTAATAGCCACATGAGGGCTTCAGGATTTGTGACGTGGTGGAAGGTTTTCATTTGCCACACTGCTGTAGTGAGACCTTCATGGGGCCAGCTCTCTTTATGCATCATCATGAATTGCTTCTCCATGGCAGACTGTATATAAATCCCTGATGCCATCCTGAGCAATCATGAGAGGAAAAGAAACATTTGCCAGCTGATTATGATAATCATTGATCATCTTGGTTTACACCTTTGTAGATGGCAGAGGAGTCACGTCCTGGTATTTAATCAAAGCATAAAATAGATTAGGAATTTCCCTAAACTGGGATCACTACCTTACAATAGCTTGAGCACCAGTAGCTCAAGCTCTCCAGTGCTTTGGGTGTCTATTTGTCACCACCCCACATGAGCATTTTACAGGAACTACTGTCTGATTTTCTGAAATGAGGTTGTCTGAAATTAGCTCGTGACCCAACCTGGGTAATTAGAACCTCAAGCCAGGTCTACACCCATTGCAATCAGTGGCAAATAACCTTCCTGCCTCTAAGAAAAATTAGCTCGAATTAATTGGAACGGTTAGTAGGATATTACAAAATGGATTACCTTTTGGTTATAAAGCTCCTTGTGTGTTTACCTAGAAGCAAAATAAAGTTAATTTCACAATGACCAAAAGAAATCCGTAACGCATCAGTCAAATGGATTCAGCAAACAAGGCAGTGAGTAGGAAAATTTCTGTGGGCTAAGGTAGGACACAAAGGATCTCATTCTGATTTAAGTTACACTGATGTCCATAAAGAGCAATTCCAGGAAACTATGGAGCTACGTTTACTATAAAGCAAGTGCCAACAAAATGAGTCAGGCCTGTGACAAGTGGAGTGCACAGGTTCCTGCAGCATCCCCACCAGCTCTGAGGGCTCTCTGGTCCCCTCGTAGTAACACAGCCCTGGAGCAAGGACAGTGCCCCTATAAAATGAGCAAAACGCTGTTGCAGGGGCCATGGCACAAAGAGCCTAGCAGTTCTCCAAGCTGTGCTGCTGACCTGACAACCAGCAGCACCAGGCAGTGAGGAGTTTGCATCAGCCTTTTTGTCCGCTCTCAAACATCAGGGTGAGGAGAAGCAGGGCCTACACGCTCTAGTCCGGCGTCTTACATCCCATCTGTCCTGGCAGGGCCATTGTATGACAGTAAGGTCTTCCCTGCACAGACCCTGATATCACCTGTAACAAGGACAGGTGAGCTTTTAAGGTGGCCTGACATGCAGGAACGGGTCAAGAAGGGCACTGCTCTTTAGTGTGTTCTCTGTCCTGAATTCCTGAAGATAGTGAAGATTAACCAGAGATACAGAAGGACATCTGCATTATGCCGGCATTAGAAGCTTTAAAAAATTATGTGCTCAGGGATACTTACATTTCCATAACAGTGATAAGAGCATCAATATGAAAAGAATAGACGCCACTATGAGACAGGTGATGAGAACGACATAGGCTGGAAACTGGAAAGGAGATGAAAAAACTGAAAAGGCTTTAAAAGCATGCTTTACATCAGACCTACTCATGCAGGTCTGGGTTGCCCTAGTGGCTAAGAGCTCTGAAATATCTACCATGAGCTGGCATTTGCAACACTTTTCTGAGCTTGCATGTACAAAGTACGGAGAATACATATCAGGAGACAACAAGCAAAATGAATTACCAGTTAAATATTTAATACTTCTTGCTCTGAAGTATTTGGGCCTAGATTTATCCCACCTAACATGAGCTTCTTAAGGAATTTCTAAATAAAACCAAATAAAACATTCTGAATAAAAGTCTTTCTGAGTTTCTAAATAAAAATTCAAACTACTAGTTTGCAAACATTGTGCATTTAGCATGAACACATTAAAAATCACTAGCAAGTCCTGCTATCCTTCTGGCTTCTAGTTAACCGAACACTTCTGAAACTTAAAGGAAGTCTTACCTGATCTATGTTATCATCATTTTTCTTAGCTTTGCTGTTTGAACTTCCCAAAATATCTGAAAACAAAAGAAACTGACATAATTATTACCGGCACAGTCAGCTGAATGAACGAAGAACATTGAGGGTCACTATGGTTGTCACCATATTAGTCAGAGTACAATGAACTCTCAGTGAATGAGAAGGACAAAATCTGGCCCTGAGCAGGAGAAATAAAGCGCTTTGCAACCAGTGGCGAACAATGTGTTGTAGCCAAAAATGGCATATCAGGCATTCATCAGGATATGTCAGTCTTCATCAAGGAAAGAGGAAGCTTTCCAGGGATAGCCCGGTAAGAATGATAGAAGAAAGTTGTCTCCTGTGAGAGAGCTTTCATTGCAGTAAGCATGATGAGACGTGGTAGAGAACGTAGTAAAAAAAATACAAGGCTAAGTGAAGAAACCTCCTCAGTTTAATCATGGTCAGAGTTCTGTGTGATTACACCTATTACTGAGAACCACAGGAACTATCTGTACGTTCAGATAATTTTCCACTGGTCTAAGATAGCTCTGTGAAGATGATGCATTTCTTTCTGTCTATCTTAAGGTATGAAGAATAATTCAGTTCTAGTTTACCAAGCTTTGGATATGGGGGTGAACTAGAGGACTGCTCAAGAACTCTTGCAGCTAACTTTTCTATTATTATCCTATGATCCTACTATCTTACTTCTGTTAGTGAAACTAAAGTCACAGCAGGGTGATTCAGTCTTGCCCTTGGTTCATTGTGACCTTCTACTACAAGATGATGAAATATTTAAGCATTTGGAGCTCTTGGACCGTCACAGGAAGTGCCCAGCGCTTGGCAGCATCTTAAAAATTCAGGAGTCATTCATCTTAGCAAATTGAAACTTCAGCTCACATCTCTTTCTAGGCCATACTCTAATGCATAGAAAGACTGTGAGGAATAGTAGTTTTAAGGATTTGATAAGAGAGCAACTGCAGAGCCTCCATACTAGCAAAATGTAGTGGGGACTAGATGAGTCATATTTGCCTGGGCATGTATAACAGACTTAATGTGCTTGAGACCACAGTTAAAGGAAATGCTAAATGCATCAGACCTCCAGAATGTTGCCTGGTGATGGGTATGATCAGATGCTCTCTAATAATGCCATTAGAAGAGCTGAAGAAATTGTTATCCCCTCAGGAGCTGCTTATAAATAACTGTCCACTCAGAAAAATGCCAGTGTGTCTGGTGACCGAGATAGCACCAGTCTTTGGTGTTCAGATTTGTGATGCAGATTATACGTAATTGTAGGGCTAAATAGAATTAATTAATTTGCTACCAAAAAAAAAAAAAGATAAGCTTATGTGTATACTGAGCACCTCTTAGTGGAACAAGGTTTTCTTTGTTTTTCAGATAACACATTGTATTCTGATCCCCATGCAACCATTCTCCCGTCTCTATTTAACATGGAATGCAAATACCATTAAAATACACTGCAAAAGTCAATGTAATAATGTCTAATAAAGAAGGAGCAGATTCTGTCTGGGCTTGACTTATGATCTACCTTTATCGACTGCAAACAGGGCCCCCTCCATAAAACTCTTTAATGGGTCTGGCAGCCTTCCTTTCTAATCTCTCACTCAGCTTTTCATTAGTTCAGAAACTTTCCTGTCGGATGATGCTCATGCAGGAACATGTAAAGCTTGGTAGAATCCCACTTGCATCTCCTGACTTTAAAAATAATGAGACGTTTGTGAGGTACAGCTCCTTTATAATTAGAATTTGTTCCCCGAAGGACCCTAGAATTTACTTTCAGCAAAAGGAATGCATGTGCCTAAGTACATGGAGATTAATGGCTGCTTTGAGACTTTTGCACCCTGAGTATAAGAATTGTTCTTAGAGGCGGAGGACTGCTTCAGTTCTGTGTTTCTCTCCCAGCCAGTGTGCTAACCTCAGTACAGAGACTGGCCACAAGTTAGCCTTCCCTTACATTATGATAAGGCTGAAGTTTGTTTTAGCAGAGCTGTTAGTCTTTTGAATGCATTTTTTCACAGAGAAAAAGGAGACTAAGTCAAGAATGTAACCTAGCTTATTGCTGCTGCTAGGTAGTACTCAATTACCCTGCAGTATTTTCTATTGTTATGGGAGTCTGGCCTTGGAAATAACACATCACAAATTTTTGCACGGGTGGGAGCAAACAGTGACTCATGTAAGTGTGGTTTGTTGTTATTTGATCTGTGGCTGCTCTTTATAGCCTGCAGCGACAATTTAAGTTGCCCCAAGAACCCCAGCAGTAAGACCCTTTCCCAGACTCCCTATTTGACAATAACAGAATACAGTCATTCTCTACCTTGGCTGGATGGTGTCCCTATGCTCCCTCTACAGTCAAGGAAAGACAGGCAGACGATTCAGAGGAGGTTAGCATAAGTATTTCTGTTGCTTATTGAATCTAGTCCTACTTTCCAACAAAGTACAATAAACTTCTGCTTCTCGAGTCCTGCTGAAGTGGATCATGCATGGTCTTCTCTCTGCCACGTCGCCAGACCTACTGATCATACAGAGCACATCCAGATGTGCTGCATGTGCGCCAGACAGACTTTTTGCCTACGCCTGTTACACGTGGTGCTACTCCAGGACAGCCAGACCAGAAGAGACTGAGAAGAGATAAATGCTCACAAATGCTCACAAGATCAGTTATGAAGCCTCTTCTGTGAGCCCTGTCCAGGGGCATTGAAGAACAGTTTCCTAAACCCTGTTTCCCCTGTAAGTTTCCAGCCCTGTCAAAACAAGACCCATATAGAATACTGTAATACTTTTTTCTTAGGAGCACGGGAGACTTTTGACACTAGCTGAAACTAAAGGGAGCAAAATACTGACAAGTCATCCCTGAATTTTAGCTTTTCTTTTTTTAAGCGCTCATTTGCAGGCATCTGGTAGGCAGGCTATCAGACCTGAATAACATAGGCCTTTTGTCATTTACACCTGACTGAGGGAAAACACCTTCTCAGCACCTTGTTATCTTCATCTGTTCAGTGAAAACAGAATAATGTTTCTGTCAGTTTCTTTCATTATTTGTTTAAAGTCTCTTAAAACCACAGATGAGGATCCCTGAGATCACCTCCACTGTACCACCATGTGCAGTAAGTGAAAGGATTTAGTGGTATTTGGTTAGAATCTAAGAGCCCCTATTCAAGTTAATACTGTATCAGGAGTTCTCGTGGAAACTCAGCAAGATTGAAAGAGGAATCTAGAGCAGGCAAAGTTACCTTAAGTTTATTTATCATGTATGGTAAAATTTTGCATCCTAATTACTTTTATCTTGAAGGAGCGACTGACAGTTGTGGTGATTGCCCGCTACTGTCCAATATGACCAAGGACACATGTTGGGCACTGAATAGCTGAGCCTGCTAACCAAATCTAGCTGAATATACTGAGCAAGATTCAAAGCCCAGTGCAGTCAGGGAGGACATTAAATGGAAACCACAATGCATTCACAGTGATGACAGATTACATATCTGAGAACTGAAGCTTGGACTGAGGCAAAGAACAACACTTAACTACTCTCAGACTGAAACACTTGACAGTAGTGAGTAACTGAAAATCTGTTTCCTTTGGGGTACTTGAAAATACGTATTTTTCATCTATTGCTTCATCTTGATTTCAGATAACGTCTCTGTGGATCCCAGATAGCTCTTGCTTCCAGATATAATGAATAATTATTAATAAACATTTGGTACGCTCTTTAGGGTGGTTAATGCTTTTGTTTATGACAGTTTCTTCATTTCTCTGAATAAGTAACTTTTTGCAGCGTCTGAGCTTGTGGCGTTATCACACTCACCCGTGGTTAGCCCATCTTCCGTAATGAGAGAAGCGTTTGCATTTTCAGTTCCCTCTGAACTTGGAAGTGTACTTGGGAATTCAGCAGTCACTGAAACAAAGTAAAAAGTAATGCTGATAAAGATTGCTGTTTAGGGGGGGGGTCTTCATATGTTGTTCAAAATTGCTAGCACAATTTTGCATCTTCAGCTAAGCAAGAGGTGAAAATTTGCACCTAAGGTGTAATGTCTGCAGCTCATCCTGTTCACATAGCTGATGTACTTTATTAGCACGTTCGGCAGCTAGACTTTTAAACAGTTTAGCTGCGGATGTAATTTGTTGTTGCCAAGTTTAACTGTGGCACATGGTTACGGCTGGAAAACTAGAGATGTTGCTGAGAAGTTGTCCTAAAACATTCAGGTCAGAAAGAGCTTCAGGTGATATAAGAACCCCAAAAGGTACAAAACCCAGCTTTGTGTGCAGACATCAATCTGTAGAAAAGTCACTAATGTGAATACAGCTGCAACCTAGGATAAAGACGATGCGGAATGTAATATGTCACTGCTACCAGCTAAATAATAATTATAACAGCAGCCTTCATTTGGGAAGACATTTAAGTACTCAATTTTAAGCATGTATTAAATTCTCACTGACTATTGCTCAAGCAGAACATGCTCTTAAATGACCTTTTCAATAAACTTTTTCAATTGCCTTTCCCAAATCAAGGCAAAAATTAATGCAGAGTTTAGTGGATTTCGGTTTCACTGCCCTTTTTGTCCAATCCTATTCACTGGCAGCCTCACACTCTAAAAAAAATACAGTTACTGTAAAGTGATATAAATATTTACACTGCAGTGGTCCCTGAAAGAAAAGAGTAAAGGGAAGGGAAACTTGAATTTGCTCTTGAATGCAGACAGTTAAAGGTATCACCGAAAGACAGGCCTGGTATTTCTCATTTGGATGCATCTGAGAGTAGTGAAACCTATGGAATTGACTCCTAGAACTAACTTCCTTGGAGAACAAAACAAACGGTGCTACTCTAGATGAAGAGATTTGGCATAAATGCCAAAACTAAACAAAGATAAAACTTCCTTAATTTTTAAAAACCCCAGTGGCATATAAACATTGCCCTTTCTCTACTTTACAAACACTCCCCCTCCTTCAATTTATCACAGGGTCATAGAATAATTTAGGAGTGAGGGGACATCTGGAGTCATCTAATCTAACCCACTGCTCAGAACAGGGCTGACTGTGAAGTCAGATCAGGCGGTTCAGGGCCTTGCTTTTTGAATATCTCCAAGAATGGATATTCCACAGCCTCTCTTGGCTCCTGTCTCAGTTCTTAATCACTCTCACTGTGAAAATTTTTTCCTTAGGTCTAGTCAGAAGTTTTCTTGCTCCAGCTTGGGTGTGTTGCCTCTTACCCCTTTCACTGTATACTTCCAAGAAGAGTCTGGCTTTGTCTTTATAACCTCTCTCAGGTATACAACAATTAAAACCCTGTTTTGCATCCTCTTCTGCAGGTTGGCCAAATCTAGCCTCCTGACCTTCTACTGGACTCACTTCAGTTTGTCACAATTTTTCTTGTATGGAGGGTCCAACACAACACAGTACTCCAGATGTGGCCCCAGATGTGGCCCCATGACTTCTAATAGAAGGAAATGATCATTTCCCTTGACCTGCTAACTGCAGTCTTGCTAGTTTGGCTCAGGATGCAGCTGACCTTCTATGTTCAGCTTGCCCACCAAAATTCCTAGATCCATCCCTTTCTGCAAAGCTATTTTCTATCCAGTCATTCGCAGCCTGTTCTGGTGCATGGAGTTAATCCACCCCAGGTGCAAGACTTGACATTTATTTCTGTCGTACTTCATGAGTTTTCTGTCAGCTCATTTCCCCATCCTGTAGAAACTCCTTTGAATGGAAGCCCTACCCTCCAGTATCTTGGCCATCTCCCCCATTTTGACATCATATGCAACATTTGATCTATGTTTCCTTAAATCCACTGAGAAAAACGTTTAGTTATCTGGAAGAACACTTCTCAGCTACAATGATATCTATCTGGAAAACCTTTGTAATGCAAGAGTTAGGCTAACGCAGACCATCTATGTTAGATAAAGGAAAGGACTGATTCTGGTTACACTTTGTACCTTCAGGAACAGTAACAAATTCTGTTGAACCGAACACGTAATCACCTTCAGTATTCATGTCAGCTGCTTGAAAACCAGTTGAAAAATCTACAGGAGCACTACTTGTCACCACGATTTCTGGAAAAATGTCATTTGCTGCCATAGTGAAAGTGGGGGGAGCAAAGGTCTCCAACATAATTACTTCTGGAGGCTCGGTTGTTGCTGGTGGGTCAACAAGAATCGGAGGAGCAATTATTTCGGTGGCAGTTGTTGCTGGGGGACTGACAGTTGTCAGGAGGACAACAGTCTCTGCCATAACTGTTGCTTGAAGATCAGAGGTTGCTTGGGGAACAGAAACTGTTTTTGTGAAATTCGGGGGAGAAATGTGAGTCGTTGCCATGGCTGTTGTCATCACTGGAGATGCTGCATGAAAAGCCATAACCAAGAGAACAGCTAGATCAGAACATTCACAACTGAACTTAAGGAAAACTAGAAATGAATTGCAAGAATCTATTCACTAAAATATTGCAAATAAAAGTGGGATTGTCTAATTAGCAGAAAACAAATCCCAGTGAGAGCAATTCCCAGGTTTCTATTTTTTCTTTTTCAAACTTTCCAGAGTACATTTTTCAACAAATAACTTAATCTCCCCTAAGTTTTTCAGTTCTAATCAGCTCCCTCGTTACAGCTGAGAAGATTTCTCTCCACATACCATACAGAGACGGATCCTTCATTAACCTTTTTCAACTTGAAGCTTAAGATTTTGCTTTATTTTGTTAGAAAACCGGACAGCAGCGTGTATTCCTGTTTTCCTCTTACACATTATTTATTACTAGAGATATTCTCCATTGGGAATATGATCTTGCATTTGGTAGATGTGAAACATTTGATATACCACATTTTCTCACTGGTTAGGACAGTTTTATTTTCAATTTAGCCTGCTGTCCACTGTCCCAGCCCCAGTATGAGAGTAATCAATCAATCTCTCTCACTCTTTTTTTTTTTCCAATATGGTAGTGCCGTGATAACATTGTTGACCACCGGCCATCACTTGCCCAAGAGTGTGATCTGAAAAGTAGGAAAAGAAAATGAAGACCTCATTTTCC